CATCGCACACTGCTCAACGCTCATTGCCCTATATCCCACCCAGCCGCAGGACTCCACTGCCGCCCGCGCCCCGCCCCATCTGGCCGCTTGCGCGCCCCATCCCCCCTCGATGGGGCCCGCCCACACCGGGGCCTCCCCCCTCCCGCCCACTGCTTTCTCAACGGCCCCGAGCCGGGGCTGCCCTCATTGCATACATAGTGCGCCTTTCCCTGCTTTTCTAGTGACCTAGCGTTCCGCACTGCCGTTTGGCCAGCCCATGCTCCCGTACCGTTGCGTTTCTCCCCAATGCGCCATGCCACTTTGCCAGTCATACACACGTTTCGATGCGTGCCCTGTCAGCTGCTTGCGTTGCATGTCGCCTTGCTCCACCCCTGTTTTATTGCTTTCTCTGCTTTCGCCCGGTTCCCGTCCCGTTTCGGCGGGGAGTCTATGTTGCAAGCTAGTTCTTGCTTTACCAGACTTTAAGCCCACACAAGCAAGCTTCTGTGTGGACCTGCGCATGCCCCTGGCTGCCTGCGCATGATCACCCGCCCTACTACCTTCTTGCCTGCAGCCCTATGGGCCTGTGGACACCAGGGTGGTGCCCTCGGTCGATTTTGTGTGCCGGGACTACACCAAAATTGCACAGTGCGTCAGCGGCACCTGGGGCGAGTACGTGGGCATCACCTGGGATGGCTTCCTGGTGGTGCCAGCCAACGGCACCTATGAGCTCTTCCTCAACTCCGATGATGGAAGCGTGCTGTTCCTGGACGGCGAACTGCTGGTGGACAACGATGGCGGCCCGCACGTGGAGCGCGAGCTGTCAGTGGTCTGGATGGCGGCGGGCTACCACGAAAGTGAGCCCTCTCAGCCCGCCTGCCAGAAACGCGCCACACCTGTCCTGCTGGTTGGCGATGCGCTGTGCCGTTTCCATCCCCAGGTACCCGCTCTGGTTGCCCTATGATGCAGTGCGCATTGAGTGGTATAACCAGCGGGGACTTGCCGTCTGCCAGCTCAAGTGGGCTTCCACGGAGCGAGGCATGGCCAAGCAGGTGGTGACAGGGGACGCGCTGCAGACCACCAACCCCAATGCTGGCAGCACTCCCGCTCTCTACGTGGACGGCCTCAACCTGTTTGTCTACCAGACCGGACAGACCGCCAACAATTTCATCGACTACTCCACGCTGGCGCCCTCGGCGCTCAAAGTGCAGAAGATTCAGCGCCACCTGGACTGCTATCCTGTGTCCCGCTGCTTTGGTTCTTCTAGTGGCGCCCTATCGAGCAACGTGTGGGCAAAGGTGGGATCAGCACTGCAAAACACATACTCTAAAAAGCCGCAACACCATTCCCTGGCGAGTGGCGCCTGCCTCTCTCCATTGCACAGCCCTTACAACTCTTGCCCTGCACCCGTATTGCAGTTTGCCGGCTACATCCTGATCCCCACAGCCAGCAGCTACACCTTCTGGCTGGACTCTGATGACGGCAGCCGCTTACTGCTCGACAACAACCTCGTCCTCGACAATGGCGGCATGCACTCGATGCTGGAAAAGAACGTGACCGTCACCCTGGCAGCTGGCTGGCAGCCCATCCAGATTGACTACTTTCAGGGCCCCGGCGTGACCGGCATGCGCCTGTCCTGGCAGGGCCCTGGCTTTGCCCGCAAATTCCTCCAGTACCCCTACATCGCCTCCAAGCTGCCTCCCGCGGAAACGTGCACCGGCGACTGCGTGCCTGCTGCCAACGGTTGCAAGCCCGGCCGCTTCCTGGCCAATGGGCAGTGCAAGGTCTGCCCGGCTGGCTCCACCTGCCCTGGCGGCAACGCCCCGGTCACCGAGTGCTCCCCGCGCTCCTATGCCCCGGATGCTGGCATGGCCAGTTGCAACCCCTGCCCCGAGTACTCCTTTGCCTACTTCCCTGGCTCCACCGGCTGTCTGGCCTGCTACTTTGGCGAGCCCAAGGTCGTGGCGGGCAGGGATGATGGGTTCTGGCCATGGTGAGTGGGAGCTGTGTGGAGGGGGGTTGGGCGGTGTGTGTGTGGGTGGCAACTCTCTTCACTCTGTCGTTCGGGGTTTATTGAAACCAACAGGCAGCATGCCAGCAGCGCTGCTGCTGCTGCGCTGCCAGCGCCTCCCCCGCCCCCGATCTCGAGAGAGACATAAAGCCGCCTCTGTGCATGGCTGCAGGAACATGCCGTCCGAGCAGGCGCGTGCTGGTGAGTGGGGACCGTGTTTCAACTGGCTGATGTAATTCCTTGCAATGCCCCTCATTATGATAACATAGCTGGCTTACCTATCTCTCAGAGTGCTCATCTTTGCTCACTAGCCTCACATATTCCTATGCAGGCTACCGCTCCGCTGTCATGACCGACAGCCTGGCCAGCTGCCCCTTTGCACACCCGTTCAAAACCGACTGCTCCGCCACTGCTGGACGAACAGTTGCGTTTGAGACGGACGCCTCCTGTCTGGTGCGCGTCTATGTCCTGGGCGATCCCAGCTGCTCCCAGACAGACAACATGACCATTGTGGATGGGTAAGGGTGCAGGGCAGTCAGACTTTGGGTGTGTGCGGCTGGCGCTGGTGCTGGTGGCGACCATGTACAGAGGTGCGGCAGACAGTGCTTCCACACAGTGGCAATTTAAACCTGGTACGGGCATGTCCCTTCAACTGCTGGAATGTGTTGCTAACGCCCCGCTTGCAGTGCCTACCGCAACACGTACTTGGTTGAATCGATGCCTGGTGACATCACCGGCCCCCGCATTCTGGCAAAGACAGCTGGAACCGACATGGGCCTCACTTTCAGACACCCCACCGACAGCACCCTGGCCTGCATCACTCCCATGACTGTCCCCCACGAAGATCCCGAGAAAGCCTGCCCCGTTGGAACCACGCTGGAGGTCCACTCGCAGGTGGGTGGCAGGCTACCAACTCATCTGCGGCAGATCTCAGCTGCTGCATGTGCAGCAGGGTGCAGCTCAGCTGCCGGACTGCTCACTCTCCTGCCCACCCCTGCAGAACAGCACCGACCCTCTGGTACCAGTGTTCAAGTACACAGCCTGCGTGCCGTGCACCACCGGCAACAAGTGCCCCACGGGCTCCTCTGTGGCCTGCGCCGCTGGCTCCTACACTGAGCTGGTGGGCGCCGCCGCCTGCTTCACCTGCCCCAACGGCACAGCCAGCCAAGCAGGCGAGTCGGGGCCGCAGCCATGCCATACAACCGCCGCGTGGATGAGGGGAGGCCTGCTACTGCATAAAGGCTTTGCCCTCACCTCACCTTCCCTGCACACACTCACGCCCACCTGCAGGCGCCGAGACGTGCCAGGAGTGCGCGCCCGGCACTGAGCCTTCCTCTGGCAAGGCCACCTGCCAGCTGTGCCCTGCTGGCATGTTCAACCCTGTGCCTGGTGGAGCTTGCCGCCAGTGCCCCGTTGGCACCTTCCGTGTGGCTGGCGGCGGTGATGGCACCCAGTGCACCAAGTGCCCTCCCGGCACCTTCACAGACCTGACCGGCCAGGCAACCTGCACTCCTTGCGCCACTGGTTACGCCAATGCCGGTGAAGGCGCCACGACCTGCAGCCCCTGGTGAGGCCGCTGCTGCTACTGCTCTCCTTTGCTGCATGAGCACCTCTGCCAGGTCAGCATTCCAGCATCACACCTGCTGACATTCAGCTCCAATGTACCCCATGCAGCGGCCCCGGCACTTTTGCCAACGGCACCGGCTCCTACACCTGCAACACCTGCCCCGCGGGCTCCTACTCCAACCAAGCCGCCAACCCCACCTGCACCAGCTGCCCCCCTGGCGAGATCACGGCCAACTTGAATGGCGCCGGCGCAACCAACTGCACCAAGTGCAAGCTTGGTACATTCAAGCCTGCTGGCGCCACCGACAACAAGTGCCGTACCTGCCCCGCTGGCTGGGAGACGGGCGTGAATACCACCGGCGCCTCCACCTGCACCGAGTGCGCACGCGGCAGATACAGCGGTGCGGCCAACACACCGCTGTGCACACCGTGTGCCAAGGCCACCTTTGCCGCGGCCACTGGCTCCAAGGCGTGCAAGCCCTGCCCAGCTGGCCAGCTCACCGACTCTGCTGGAGGTGCAGCGGCCGATGGCACAGGCGGTCACTCCTGTACCAAGTGCGGCGCCCGCCGCTTCCGCCCATCCATGTACGCCGCCAACACCTGCACATTTTGCCCCAAGGGCCGCGAGACCAAGCTGGCGACGGGCGCAGCAACCTGCATAGCCTGCATCCCCGGCACCACCCTCGTCTCCACTTCTGACCTCAACTGCACGGCGTGTGCACCTGGCGAGTACGCCGACAAGCAGGGCTCCTCAGGCCCCTGCAAGAAGTGCCCCAAGGGCTACGGCGTCGCTGATGAGGGCAACAGCGCCTGCGACGTCTGCGGCCCCGGCACCTACCAGGACGAGGAGGGCCAGGTTGGGTGCAACGACTGCCCTGTGGGCACCTACACCGAGATGACCGGCAGCACCGAGCTAGAGGCCTGCCTGCCCGCCCCCAAGGGCAACTACGCCCCAGGCACAGGCAACGACGGCTTCATCCCCTGCGAGGGCGGCACCTACCAGGACGAGGAGGGCCAGGGTGCGTGCAAGCCCTGCCCGCCGGGCAACCAGTGCCCTGCGGGGTCGGTGGAGCCCAAGAAGTGCCGCCCTGGCTTCTATGCCGACAGCCGGCAGCCCTTCTGCAAGGAGTGTGCCAAGGGCACGTACCAGGACAAGGAGGGGCAGCGCGCCTGCAAGCCCTGCCCTGCTGGCAGCTACTGCCAGGCCACCAAGATGGCCACCCCCACGGCCTGCCCGGCTGGCAAGTTTGTTCTATGCCGACAGCCGGCAGCCCTTCTGCAAGGAGTGTGCCAAGGGCACGTACCAGGACAAGGAGGGGCAGCGCGCCTGCAAGCCCTGCCCTGCTGGCAGCTACTGCCAGGCCACCAAGATGGCCACCCCCACGGCCTGCCCGGCTGGCAAGTTTGGCGTCAAGTTCTCCTCCATCACCCCCAACGACTGCCAGGCTTGCCCCATCAACGTGAGTGTGTGGCACTATTCTGAGCTGCTGCAGGCTTTCAGACTGCTCCAATGTTTTGGATTGCACCTGTGCGCATTGGTGCTCGCTTGATGGATGTTGAGAGTCGCTCGCTGGCCCGGGTCTTTTCTCCTGATGCAGTCCTACACCGATGCTCCAGGCAAGAGCAAATGCACCAAGTGCAGCACCGGCCAGTGGACAGCCCGCAAGACCGGCCAGAAGCTGTGCTGGTCCACCAGCAAGACTCTGCCTGGCCAGTAATGGCGCTGGCGCCTTGCTGCCAACCACTGCGCAGTGCATGCAGTGTCAAGGTGACCTCTTTGACACAATGGCTTTCTCCTTTGCACTTCCTCATGATCTGTCACCTCATAACTGGCCCCAGGCATGTGCAGTGTGGTTAATGCTGCACTAACATAAACAACGCACCGGCCGCCTGCCCCATATCAATCACGCACACAGCTTCATCAGCAACAATAGCTGCTGCCATCGCCGTCACCTCCTAACCACGCCATTCTTGTTTGAAAACCAACCTTAATTTATGTTTGATATGTGGATCCCTATATCTCTGCTGTTGCCTACTACACTACTGTCGCATGATTTTGTCGCCATGCGCAGCGTGTACCAACAGGCATTCTGGTGGGGTTGGGTGCAACGCAATGCCCCATTTGGCATGTCTGTCCTGCTCCACAGGCTGTATGTAATGTTACACATTAGAGATCCCCGGCGCTGCTGGCAAGAGAACGTTTAACAGCAGTATGAAAGAAATGCAGAAGAGAGCTGGCAGAAACAGTACAGCGGGCCCAAAAAGGGCAACACAACTCTGAGCAGGGCAAGTCCACAGCCTCCAGCAGAAAGCAAAGAACACAAGCAAGAACACAGCTGATCACCAGCACACACCCAGCTGCATCCCCTCCAGCGTGAGTGCACTGTGCTTGACAGAGAACCGCAGCTGTGCCAGGCACGTGCACGGAATGTGCGGCTGTGGGTTGAGCAGGGCCAGTGCATGCGCAGCGCCAGCCGCTGCAGCAGGGCAGAGGGAAAGCGGGCATTCTAAGGTGGAATCCCAAACCAAGGTGTCCAAGTCCCCCACCCATTTCACAAGTGCATCATTGCATCTGTCCAGCAAGCAGCGCATGCAGGCTGCCAGGATCAGGCGATTCTGTCATGGCGGGAGAACCTGCTGGGCGCTCACGTCGAATGTGCAGCACCAGCGGCAGCCAGCGCTGCAAGATGTACAGCAGGCGAGGACCCTCCACGTGGCTGGACTCTGTGACAATCAGCTGGCAGGGGCTGCCCTTCAGCTGGGAGGCGACGTTCTGCAGAGGGGGCTGTGGCAGCAGTACCGATGCAACAGGCAGCCTCCAAGGCAACGAGGTATGCCCCTCCCCCCCCGCACACACACACCACCTCAACCACCCCCCTGCGTACAAGCAGCAAATAAAGACAAGAGGCCAGGGAGCCGCTGTGGCAGCCGGGGACGCCTCACCGCTGCTTCGTGCAGGGAGGCCAGGATGCGGCAGAGGGCCATGTCGCGCGGGCGTGAGCGGTCTCCGGCGGGCAGGTCGGCCAGAGCATGGAGGTCGTCCACCAGCAGCAGGTCGGGAGGCCCCGCGGGCAGTGCATGGATGAGCGACACATAGCGCAGCAGATCTGTCCCTGTGGCCAGGCAGGGTGGTGGGGGGAAACAGCAAGATGTGTGGCGACGGGGAGTGGCAGCGGTGGTGAGGGCACGGGCAGCAAGATCGGGCTGGACCCGCGCTGTCGCTCGAGGACAAGGGGAACCATGAATGGGCAGCCCCGCCCACCGCTGGACAGGTACTTGATGTTCACTCGCTGCCAGGCAGCGTCCGAGATGGCGACGCCGCCCGGCAGCAGCGGCGGCATCTGCTCCAGCTTCTGCCTGCGGAGCAGCAGGAGCAAGGAGGTGGGCAGGCGCCACGTGGCGGGCAGGCGCTACGAGGCTGCTCCCGCCCAAGGGCCAGCTGCTGTGGTAGCTGCCCCCGCACCTGCGGCACAGCAGCAGCACCTCCTTGCCCTGCCGCGCAGCCACGAGCGCTGTGTGGAAGAGCAGGGAGGTCTTGCCGCTGCGCTCGGGCCCGCTCAGCAGGCAGTGGCGGGTGGCGGGCGGGAAGGGCGGCAGCGCCCACAGCTGCTGCCGCAGGTCCGGGGGGCACTCGGCATAGCCAAGGAAGTCAGCCAATTGCATGGACGCAGCAAAGGCTGCGCCCAAAGGCTCCCACACTCAAGCACCAGGCCCCCGCCTCCCGATGTTGATCGTGGCTCTGGCCGAGGCGCTTTGCAAGGCCAAAGAATAATCGGGAGCATTGGTTTGCTCTTGGCAATGCCGGAGCATTTGTGCTGAGTTGGCGTTCCTTCAAAGAACAGGGCGAGAGCCCCAGATCGTGACCCAAACCACACACCTGCACCCGCGGCAGCCGCGGCACAGTCCTCCTGCTGGCGACGTTTCAGACCGCCAGAGCTATCCCCCAGCGCCTGCAAGCTCGGCGCTCAGCCTCCGCCTCGTTGCGCCCCAGGACCCTCCCTCGCCATGGGGGTGCTCTTCAAGCAGGTGAGGGGATGGCGAGAGCGCGCTTGGAGCAGCTCGACACCATGGGCTAGACCCGCTCACCAGACCTTCCTGGCTCTCCGCAGTACCTCTCCGGCGATAAAATATACACGTGCAGCCAGTGCAAGACGCACTGCACCGACCACGGCCAGCTGATTAGCAAGGTGAGGGGGGGCACAGTGAAGCGCCGGCGCTAGGCCTGGGTGTAACCCTGCCCCCTCATTTTCTCTATGCCGTAGTATGGGTTAAATAACCATGGTTAGCATACTTGCTTATTTCACCGTTAGACAAAACAGCAACCCACCCAGAACCCCGCTAACCCGTACTATGCCATATGTATGCGTTAGAGCGGCGCGTTAGAGCGGCGCTGGCGGCATGAAATGCAGGCAGCATGTTCCAGTTTATGGTGCTAGATGCGTTTCCCATTGACAATTGCACCCTGGGAGCTCTGGAGCATGTATGCGGATTTTTTCTAGTCCCTCCAGGCTTAGAGTGACCCCGATTGGCGTGTGCGCTGTCCCCACGCCGCCGTTACTATACCGTCCCCCCCCGCGGTTACTGTGCCGTATGAACCCTCTCCCAAAGCGTAGTAACCACCCTCAAAATTCTTCTATGCCATAGTAACTGATTAGTATGCTAACGTAGCATACTAACCCGTATGGTCACAATCAGGCCTAGCCGGCGCCGCCGCTGGTGCACGTGGTGCGGTGTTCGAGGGAATTCGCCCACCCACCGCTGATGCAGGCCTTCCAAGGACGGCATGGGCGAGCGTACCTGTTCAGTGACGTGTGAGTGTGGCAGCCCCTTCTCAACACGCACGCTCCCGGGCTGGCACCCGAGATTAGGCTCAGCATGACCGGTTCTGAATCTTACACCGCTTTGCCAGCAGCCCGGCTGCCGTCCAGCATGCGCTACCAGCCTCCAATATGCCTCCCTGCCCTGGCCGCTGCCTGCCACCCCACCTGCAGCGTGAATGTCACGCTGGGACCACGCGAGGACCGCATGCTCATCACGGGGCTGCACACCGTGTGCGACTGCTACTGCATCACCTGCAACAGCGTGCTGGGCTGGAAGTACGAGGTGTGTTACTATGCGTGAGGGGGCAGGGATTGTGCGGGACTGTGTTTTGACCGGGGTGCATTGCAGGCCCAGCATTGCCGGCATGAAGTCCTGAGCAGCGGTGGCTGGCTGTCCCTGGCGGAGCGCAGGTGGCATACGAGGAGAGCCAGAAGTACAAGGAGGGCAAGTACATCCTAGAGAAGGTGAAACCAGCTGCCCCCGGCCCGTGGGCTGGCTGGCCTGGCTGGCATGACATCAAAAGCCTGAGATGTCTGATCCCGCCTGACCATCCGCCTCAATGCAGGCCAAGGTGCAAAAGGAGGGGTCATGGTGACTCGTGATGGCGTGGCCGTTGCTTCTGTAGTGCACTGCCCATGAATGAACTTGTGCCCACTCCCGCTTCCATTGTACACTGCCAGGGCTCCCCCATCCTCTTCTTTCCACTATCTTGATTCAGTGTACCATAACTCCCCTTGCTGCCACCTGTATCGTTTTTTCCCAGCATGCAGCCTGTAGCCTTGATCGCGTCCCCCCCCCCCCCCAGCCATGCCCGCCAGCAGACCCCTTAGGCCAGCTTCTTCCCCAACAATGGGAATTCCCCTGAAACCTTTTTGCGCTTTTTGGACTCCGACCCCCCACCCCCGGATCCCCTCCCCTCCACTCTCCCCCCATTGCATGGGCCCTAGCCAGCTACATCACCAATTTGGTGTTGTTGTTTTGTTGTCCATGCTGCAAACTATCCCCTCAGGCCAATCATGCCCATTCCCTACCAACGCCCGCCATGGCTCCTCTGCTACCTAATCCGCCGTGCACTATGTAACATGCATGTTCTACTAATAGGCACAGGCAGTTGCACTGCATGGCATTGCATTGGCAAGTCAAAATACAGGCACAGGCGTGCATTAACTGATGCCTGGTCAAGGACTAGTCATGTGCCAGCGGTCGGTGGCGCGGACTCATTCGATTTCCGCCGCAGCCACCGCATCGGGTGCCCCAGTGCATGCAGCAACTTGTTGGCGGCATTGCCAGGTGGCGTTGCGCTTGCTGCTGCCGCAGTTGCTGTTGCTGTGCCCTGCTCTGCTATCGCTGGCATTGCAGCACCAGCAGCTTGCCGTGCTGCAGATTGCTCGGCTGGCACTGGTCTGCTGCCCGGGGGAGCAGTTGCTGCGCCCATGCTGCTGCTGCGGCTGTCTTTGCTGCTGCCGCTGGAGATGGTTCCATCTGCCGCATCCACATCCACATCTGCGGAGCCTGTTGGCTGTCTTGGGAGCACTCTGCTGCTCACCCAGTGCCATGCTGACTTAAGGTGCTCTACCGCCGGCTGCCCTGTCCCCTGCTGCTCGTGCTGCCCTCCTGTCCCCTGCTGCTGGTGCTGCACATCACCCGAGCCAGTGCTGGGGGCCTGCTGCCCTCGCCCATGCACGCCTGCTGTGGGGGAGTCGTGCAGTGCTGATGCCGCCGGCCCCTGCGCTGCCCTTGCCACTTGCTGCTTCTGCAACTCCAGCACGAGTGCCTCCAGCTGGCTGAGGCGCTGCTGTATGTCTTTGCTGCCTGCTGCTGGGGCGTCTGCACCACTGTTGAGCGCAACAACCGCTGCTGCAGCTGGCATGCCGGGCGCCCCCTGCTGGTGCCTAGAAACTGCTGCAAGCTTCTCGCTCTCCTTTTTCAGGGCCTACAGAGTGGCCCCGCCAAAACACAGCTTCCAGAGTTCAGAAAAAGGTTGAGGCTGGCAGTGTCACGTTCCCTTCTCGCTCCACAACGCATGCACTGATTCCATGGCCAGCTGGTTAACTGCCTCGCTTGTGCAACGCCTTTCCTGTTGCCAACAACTAACCTGCATCTCACGCTTCTGCTGCGTTATTGCCATGTCATGCTGCGCCCACTGCACAAGTAACAGCAGCACTGCACCAGGGCACCAGACCAAGCTAGTTGAATTGGCTGTCAAATGCACCTTTAGACACAATGATGAGGCAGCAGAATGGGAATGGCAGGGCACTCACTGCCTGGAGGGATCAAGGCCAGCAGAAACTGCACTACATGCCAGTCCCACCTGCAACCAGCGATACACAGAGAGGGCATCCATGGGCACATTCGCAGGCAGCAGGCAGCGATGCAATACGCATGGTTGCTGCTCAACCAAGCCAGGCAAAGGCGGTCAAGTGGGCACAGCCAGCGCACCGGCCAATGAGCGACTGGCGCTGTGGCTGGTTGGAGAAGAGCATCTGGGCGCTCTTCCAGCCGCCGAACTTCTCCTCTGCGCCACGACACAGCAGCGCCAGGCCCGCGGTGAGTGCCAGGCGGCAGCAGCGGCGGCGGCGGTGTCCGCAGGTTAAGCCCCGACTGTCCTCGGTCAGACGCCCCTGACACAGCTCACCATCAATCTCTTTGAGGGTTTTAGACTGCTGTGCGCTCGCTTGGTGTTGCTGGTTGCGGCTCTGCAAGTGGAGCAGCCCCCGGCGCAGCAAGGCCTTCACCCGCATCGCAATGGACGCTGTCATAGGGCCTAGGATCGGCGCGCTTCGGCGGGGGTGCGCTCCTGCTGCGTGCTGCGCCCAGCCTATCGTGGGCATTTGTTAGATTTTCGGAGTTGCGCGGCCCCATTGCCCTTCTGCATCATGCAGGCCCTCATCCCCACTGCTGCCACGTTCAGGCCGGCCGCCCTGGCCCCTGTCCGGCAGGCCAGGCAGGGGGTGGCCACCGCCCCGTCTCGAAGCCCCGCGATCTCCAAGCAGGGATCCACCCGCAGCACGATGCCGCAGCGCCGGCTGGCCGCCAGGCCCACCAGGCGACAGGGGGCGATGCGGGTTGCGGCCGCCAGCGGCGAGGCGCTGGTCGTCGGCAGCTCTGGCCAGACCGCGGCGCGCGTGGTGGTCAGCCTGCTGCGCGCCGGCTTCAAGGTCACCGCGGGCGTGGACACTGACATCGACGAGACGCGGGAGGTGGTGCAGTTTGCCAAGAAGCTGGAGATCCTGAGCGCGGGCGAGGCCGGCGGGCTCAAGCTGGCCGAGTTCAACCCGCTGGATGCCGACTCTGTGGGCACCGTGCTCAAGCGCGGCGCACGCGTGGTGCTGGTGGCGGGCGACCAGGTGAGCGTGCCGGATGGATGACATGCTGGGGCAGGGGAGCGCGCCTGCTGCTGCGGGTCGGCACGTGCGTCGGCTCTGGAGCGAGCCCGGCCACGCTTCCCACACGCTTCTGCGCGCCCCTTCCTGCACGGCAGGCCGGCAGCCGCCGCCCCGACATGCGCATCTACGACGCGGTGCTGGATGCTCTGCTGGAGAACGGCGGCCGCATCGGCCAGCTGGTGGTGGTGACGCCGCTGGGGGGCGGCGGCACCGCCATGTTTGGCGGCGGGCGCGGCGGCGGCGGCAGCCGCCTGTCCCCGCTGGAGCAGCGGGTGGCCAGCAGCGGCGTGCCGTACCTGCTAATCCGCGCCGCGCCCTCTGACCGTGTGACGGACCGGTATGGCGAGGAGGCGAATGTGGTGGTGGAGGGCGTGGGTGGGCTGCCCGCCGGCCTGTCCGCCTCGCGCTCCCAGGTGCGGGAGCTGCCAGGAGCGGTTGGGGCGGCGTATGCAGTCATTGGTGTGCAGCAGGAGCGCCACCTCCACCCAGCCTGGAACGTCACTGTTCCCTGGTCTCAGCCGCGCTTGCTGGCATGCTTGCGCGCACGCAGGTGGCCGCCGTGGTGGCGGCGGCCATGGCCCAGGCCCGTGGCAACGCTATCATCGAGGTGGGGGCCTCGCCTGCTGCACCCTCCGTCGACCTGGCCAGCCAGGTGGCAGAAGCGCTGGCCGCCGGCCAGCAGGTGGAGGAGGAGGAGGAGGAGGAGGCGGCAGCCCCCGCCGCCATGCCCGCCTTCTTCACCATTGGCGGCAGCAGGAAGAAGCCGGCGCCCGTGGAGGAGGAGGAGGGTGGGTGGTGCCGCACTGCTTTGATGCCTGCTCCGGCTTCTACTGCTGCTGTGCCTGGTTCTGCTTCCACTGCCAGTTGCGGCTGGCACTGCGCTGCACGAGGACTGCTGGCAGTAGGCGGGCCCTGCATTGAGCCAGCATAGCTGGAATGTGGGGCCGACTTGTGTGTCGTGTGGTTGCCTCCTTGCAGAGGAGGCACCCGCGCCCGCCAAGCCAGCCTTCTTCACCATTGGCGGCAGCAAGAGGAAGGCGGCGCCGGTGGTTGAGGAGGAGGAGGGTGGGTGCTGCAGCTGCCTGTGGCCTGCTTGCTGCATCGAAATTGAGGTGCAAAGAGGGCGTCGCCGCTACAGTTCGGGAGCTGTGCGTCACATTTGCTGTGTGCCGTCTGCTGCTTCCACTTGCAGAGGAGGCCCCTGCCAAGCCAGCTCGCAAGCCTGCATTCGCCATGTTTGGCGGCGGCGGGACCCGCAAGGTGGTGCGCGAGCCCGTGGCTGCGGAGGAGGAGGAGGCGCCTGCCAAGCCGGCCCGCAAGCCTGCATTCTCCTTTGGCACCGTGCGCATGAGCAAGCAGCAGAAGGCGGCAGCCGTGGAGGAGGAGGAGGCGCCGGCGCCCAAGAAGGCTTTTGCTTTTGGCACCGTGGGCAGCCGCGCCAAGCAGCAGACAGAGGTCGAGGAGGCGCCCGCCACTCGGCGCATCATCCGTGGCCGCAAGCCCGTGGCAGCAGAGCCCGAAAAGCCTGCCCCGCGTGCGGCACCAAAGAAGGAGGCTGTCAAGGCGGAGGCGGGCGCGAAGAAGAACGGCAGCGGCGGCTTCCTGGGCTTCCTGGGAGTCTCACAGGAGACCATTTATGCCGATGAGGCGTGACGGCAGACACTGCCAGTAGCGTTTAATCCTTAAGAAGATTTTGATTACGTACGGCAGCCCACGCCGCTCCCTGCTGTGGCCTCCTTGAATTTTGCACTACTTGCAGCGTTGTCAGTTTTTTTGGCGAGAGGCATCAACTACGCAACATTGTGTGATTGCCGAGAATTTAGGGGAGCGGAATGGTAACAGATATGGTGCAGTCAGGGCAGTTCATGACGAAGAGGAGCAGATGAGCAGAGCAGGAGGGCGGAGAGCGACAAGTCAGGAGAGCAGGAGTACAACTGGCGGGGGTCTGGGCGCACGTCAGTCGTCGCCTGCCTCCTTGCGCTGCCGCGCCTTCTCCCGCCTCACAATTTCGTGCGCGACGTTGAAGATGCCCCCCGTGGGCTGCTCGCAGGCAAAGCACTTTGGCGTCTTGGCGTTGTGCTGCAGGGCGCACTGCTCGCAGAAGTAGTGCTTGCAGCGGGTGACCACGGGGTCCTGCGCCTCGGCCCACGGCCGCCGGCAGATGAGGCAGGCAAAGGGCAGCTCGTCGTCCTCCTCTGCAGGCACCGGGCGGGCACACAGGCACGCAGGAGGCGGGTGGGCCCGAGTCATGGGCGCTTCGCAGAGACGTCAGCAGCAGCATCAGGACCGACCACACAATCGGCTAGCTGCGCATGCCAGCTGGGGCAGGACCCGCACCCCAGCCCCACCTGAGTCCTTTGCCTCCTCTTCCTCATCCTCTGGCTTCCACCCTGCCAGCAAGCGCTCCCGCTTCTCCTTCTGCTGTGTATCCCAGTCCTGCGGGCGCGGGGTGGCGAGACATGCGAGCGGCATGAGCGCCCGCCCAGATGTCTGTTGCAAACAGCAATGACTGGGCAAGCGCAAGCGCAAGCGACCAACCCCTTCACATGCGCCCCAGCTGCAGCCGCCCCCTGCCTACCCGGTCAATCTCCCACCCGGCCTTGTAGTCCCCTCTGTCGTGCATGAACTTGCAGGCGTCTCCGTATCCGCAGTACCCCGTCTCCTTGTAGTCCTTGCAGATGTCTGGCTGGTAGTCAAAGCGCACCGTCATGCGCACGTTGGTGGAGGCGCGCAGCGGGCCGTGCGAGCCGCTGCCCTTCTCCGCCCCCACCGTGTGCTCGCGGCGGAAGCCGGCCCGGAAGTCTTTGTAGCTGTTCATGCCGCGGTACAGGCCGTCGTCGCCGCCAGACACCGCCACAGCGCCGTCCGCCTGCGCCAGCACCTGCTCGCGCAGCGCCCTGCGGGGTGGGGAACGGTATGGGTGTGCAGGGAGTGAGCACAGAGCGGCACCGGCGTGGGCAGGTGCCAGCAGGCAGAGCACAGCACACGCTGCAAAACAGGGTCAATGCACATTGCTGCTCCTGGCGAGGTGCTGCTGGTTTGGGCGTTCAGCAGGTGCCACCCCGCCACCCACCTGGCGTCGCGGTCGTGTGCCGTCTCCTGCTCGTTGGTGCGTGTGGCGTCATCCTGCCGCTGTTGCACCGTGTTGCTGCTCTCAAAGGCAAACACCTCTGCGCGGTCGGTGCGCTTGGTGGTGAAGGCCATGGACCCTTCCTTCTGCTTTGCGGCCTTGCGCACCACCCCACCGTCATCGCCGCCGCCGCCACTGGCCCCCTCCTCCTCGTCCGCAGCCCGTTTGCGGATGTTGCCGCGGTTCTTGCGCTTGGCAAAGCCCACTGGAGCTGCCCCAGCGGCGTCCCTCGCTGCGCTTGCTGCTGCTGCCTGCTGCTCGCCGGCTGGTCCGGTCGCTCCCTGCTCGGCAGCCCCCTCCATCCCGGCTCCTATGCGTGACACTGCTGCCTTCTAGTGCCTGCTGGGGCCTGGAAGCGTCTGGGTGATGGGACTCCCGAACGCAAATGCGAGGCAGACGGCCGCCTGAGACTCCTGATCGAAGCGTGATTGAATGCAGGGAGAACCAGGGACCTCAATTGGGGAATTGGGCAATGCTACAGTCTCGGGCCTGCGCTTTAAGAAAGGCGAAGAAAACTCGTCAGAAATGGTCAGGCGGGTCCTGTTATGCCCAGCATCGTTCAGACTGCGCAATCTCACTTTGACCTCGCTGGCCAGCTGGCCCACGGCGCCACCCCTAGACCTGAACACCCAAAGCGATTCGCGGCAGTGTGTGTGCGCAAAACCCAGAGCGGCGCACTCCTCGCCTCACAGTAGAGTGTAGCAGAAAGGCATGCGTCGCTCCGCAGGGAGAATAGCCCAGCGGCTATGGCGGGCGGTGGCTGCCGATGGCATGCCGCCAGCGGCGGAACAGGTGTGAGTTTGTGCCAGGAGCAGGGAGGTGCCAATGCACCATTTGATCCTGCTCTGCAATGGGGAGGATAGATGACTTCTTCATCATCCACCATCATGCGATGCCGCTCTGCTTCCCCGGGCGCCTTTGTGTCATGCAGGCAGCAGCGGCCCGTGGGGTGCAACCCTGGCAGCATGCGGGCAGCACGCGGCGAGCAATGTCAACAGCCTCACAAACACGAGGAGTGAGTGCTGGCTGCCAGAATGTATGTCTGTGCGTCGCCGATCGGCTTGTCTCGCTGCCCTGCATAGCCTAACCTGCTGTGGTCCTGCCTGTACCACCCTGCAGCCTGTGTCTTACTTGAGCCTCGGCATGACGGTGGGCACGGGTGCGGGGCTGCTTTGGTGGTACAACCATGAGAAGGAGAAGAAGCTGGAGGAGATAACGCGGGAGGGCAAGTCGTCGGTGGTGGTGGGCCAGGTGAGAGGCAGGCCCTGGGCCGTTGCCTGAAGTAGCGATCAGGCTGCTGGCAGCTGCTTGCTTGATGGGTGGGGGGGCATCGGAGGTGTGGGCTGCTTGTGGGTGAGTGCTTGTTCTGGATGCAGGCTTGCTGGTTGTCACAACAGGTGTGCTGTTCCGGCCTGGCTGCCTGCTCCTGGTGCCCAGCGCAGGCAGCAATAGGCGGCCCCTTTGACTTGATAGACCACACTGGCAAGCGGTTCACGGACAAAGACTTGCTGGGCCGCTTTGCGCTGCTCTACTTTGGCTTCACCTGGTGCCCAGACATCTGCCCCGAGGAGCTGGAGAAGATTGCGGCGGCCACAGACCTGACGGGTGGGTGGGGCGCGAGTGCATGGCAGGCGAACAGAGCCAGCAATGCACATAAGTGAGCTGAGCCTTGTTTGAACATTCCGGCTTATCACTGGCCTATGCACTCTGTGCAGAGAAGCTGAGCGGCGTGCAGGTGGTGCCCGTGTTTCTGTCGGTGGACCCACAGCGTGACGGCGTGGAGCAGGTGTGCCACACAGACGGGAGGGCCCGCTGGTGTTTGGCAAGCGCCTGCTGCTGCTTCAGCTGCTGCCCCGGCTGCCGTCGCTGCTCTCTCACGCTCCCTCGCTGCACAGAGCCTTGTCGTCCCCATCCCGTCTTCTCTGCTCCTGCTCTTTGCCTGCCTGCCCCTGCCAGGTGCGCGACTATGTCAAGGAGTTCCACCCACGCATGATTGGGCTGACGGGTCCATACGAGCGGGTGGGGGAGGCGGCCAAGGCGTACCGCGTGTACTTCAGCAAGACGCAGGACAGTGAGGACGACTACCTGGTGGACCACTCCATCATCACGTACCTCATCAACCCAGAGGTGTGGGTGGGTGGGGTGGAGTGAGCCGAGGGAGGCGGGCGGGCACACAGCTACACATCGTAGGATGGCTGCACACGTGTTGGGGTGCACACAAAGGCCGATGCCTGCCTCCCTTACAGGGCAAGTTTGTGTCCTTCTACGGCAAGAACTTCACGGCGGAAGAGATGGCCAAGAGCATTGCCAGCCACGTGCAGCGGTGGGAGGCGGACCACAAGTGACGGCAGGACCACAATGCTAATCTAGCAGTCTGCCTCCATTTCGTTCTACCCTTATTCCACTGCGCTGTGACCAAAACAAAAGGAGGAGTTTACACCTTCATCATCTTCCTAGTGGTCCTTAACTGAAATGTAGAATGCTTGTTGCCTAATGTGCCTGCGTGTCCTGCATTGCCTAGTGAGCAGCATCGTGGCTCGCCGCTCACGTCTTCTTGGTGCGCTTGCCGCCGCCGCTTGCTGCTGCTTTCTGTTTGCTGCCGCCCTGTTTCTGCTGCAACCGCTTCTGGGCTGCCTGGAACTCCTCCTCCGACGGCATGCTGTTCTCCACCTCCGCCAGCAGCCGGCTCAGCATGCCACCCGCCGGCAGCGCCAGCGCGCGCTCCTGCCGCCCTCGGATCTGCGCCACCAGCGCCGCCTCGGCGTCCTGCTGCTGCCGCTTGGCCTTGCCGCCTTTGCCCTTGGCCTTGCCCGCTGCCCCAGCTGTGGGGCGCGGCCGGGCCGCCACCTTCTTGGCCCAGGCCTTGTACTTGGCATAGGAGGGCGCCTCGTTGGCTGCAATGGCCGCATCCACCAGGTCCATGAAGCGGTGCGCATCCGCCGCCTCCTCGCTGCACATCACCCACTCAAACACCTGCGCCGGGCAAACACGGGCAGGTGGGCGGTGGCAGGGACAGCAGACAGTGGAGCTGGCTGGGTGGCTACGAAAAGGCAGCTGCCAGCTGCCAAGAAATCCCAAAGTGTGGGGGTGCCAGCCTCACCTTGCGCATGTCGCCCCTGAACTGCTGGTAGTACTTGAGCACCTCGCCCCGCTCCTCCTCGCCGCCCCGATAGCTCTCATGGAACGCATCCAGGTCCTCCTCTGTCACCTGCGCCGTGTGCAAGCGCTGCTTGGTTGGGACAGGCCGCCGACGCGGCCACTGCGTGCATGGGCCCCTGCTGCAGCTGAGCAGCACCGCAGGCTGCCCGCAGGCACAGCCAGTGCATGCATAGAGCACGGGCAGGTGCAGGTTGAGTGCCGCATCGCAGGCCAGGGCGCCCCCACCTTGGCATACATGGCCCGATAGTACTGGTACAGCTCGTTGAACTTCTCCCCCGCCAGCTCCTCCGAGTCCTCGATGGACCCCGTCTGGTCGTACACCTTGCGCCTGCGCCAAGCAGGTTGATGGGCAAGTCGCCGGGGCGCTGGGGTGAATGCCGCAATGCATCAAGCCGCCACGTGCGCAATTCTGGCCACTTGCATCCCTGTGCTCCGCTCTCCTTTCACTCAGAAAACTGCAATGGTCCCTGCTGCCGCAGCCGCTGACATATCCCACTCACTTGTCCTCGTCTGACAGGATGGCATACACCTTTTGGAGCGTTTGGAACTTGGCCTTGGCCCCCTCGTCACCCGGGTTCTTGTCGGGGTGCAGCTGCAGCGCTAATTTCATGTAAGCCTTGCGGATCTCGGCCTGCGTGCATGCGCAGCCCTAGGTGAGGGCTGGTGTCGTGGACTGAGACTTCCATGCTGCCCAGCAGTGCCCGCTCCAAGCGGGCAGCGTCGTTGGCGGCGACGGGGGCGGGGATGGTGGAGCACCTGGCTGGCGTCCTTGGTCACGCCCAGCGCCTCATACAGCGTCTTGCCATCCAGTTCGACCATCGCTGCCCTCTGCTGGCTGCTTGGCAGTGGCAGGGCGAATGAGACTTCTGATCGGGGGCCCGTTGGGCGTTGCAGCGGGAACTTGGCGAGCAGCAGAGCCAGAGGGAGCAAACGCTCGAGTCACTGGGGCTGTGCTCTTCTGCAACAATGCTGCATTGCCAGGTCGGATGCTGCAGCCGCCGTGGATTTTTGCCCACGGGCCTGCTGGTTTCTAGAGTCGCAGCCTGCACTCTGCTTGGCTCGAGACAGGTGCAAGGCAGGCCGCTTTCGAACCAGGCTGTTGCAGGCTGTTGGTGCGACAGCCGCGCCTCCACTCCCCACTCCCCGTTTGAAAGCCGGTTGAATCGCTGAGGACGATGAGCCTCCGCCAGTGCCAGTAGCAGCCCACAGCTGGACAGCGATGTGGGGCAGCGCGAGGCGTGGGCAGCCACAGGCCGAGAAGGCCTCCCCGCAGCAAGCCCCGCAGCATCAGGGCCTGGCCAGGCGGGGACGCAAGCCGGCATGGGTGAGCCGATGAGAGGGGAGCACTGGCGCCAGGGCGGGCCGCCACCCCGCCGCTCGAGTCTTCAACCGGCCACTGCACCCCCTCTCCCCCCATGCCTGATGCAGGCCGACTCGTGGCAGCAGCAGCAGCAACAGCAGCTACAACAACTACAGCAGCAGGGGGCAGGCGGGTTCCAGGTGCAGGTGAGGGGTGCCGCAGCCACCGACAACGGCCACAGCCAACAGTGCGTCTTGTAGCCCCGGCTGTTCCTGTGCTGTTGCTGTACCCACCACAACCCGGGTTCCCCTCTGCAGGTTGAGGGTGCGGTGGACGAGGAGGACGCCAGCAGCCGCGCCTCCTCCCCTTCCAAGTCGCCCCTGCTGGCGGGCTCCTCACCCTTTCTGGATGCCGAGGACCAGCCGCTGGCCAGGCAGCCAGCCGGCCTGCGCGCGGGCCGCCTGTCGCAGCAGGGGCTGGGCAGCCTGGGGCGCCTCGGCCAGCTGCAGGTGCCCGCCGATGCCGGCGCCGAGCTGCTGCAGCAGCAGTTCCAGCGGGCGGCCTCGCCGCTGGGGCGCCGCCCACAGCTGCCGACCAGCTGGCTGCCTCAGCAACCGGCAGCGGCGCAGGAGGGGCTGACTCCTGCTTCCGCGGCGGGGGGCCTGGGCACCGGCTTGGGCGCCGGACTTGGTGGCGGCTTGGGCGGCGGGCGCAGCGGCACACCGCCGGCGCGGCTGTTTGGGGACGGCGGCGGCCTGAGCGGGGGGCTGGGCGGGTTTGGCGCGGGGGCGGCTCCCTCCGACCCCGTGACCTACCAGATGCAGGCGCAGCTGGACAAGGATGGCGTGCCCAACATGGGAGATGTGCGCCAGGAGGAGGAGGGCCTGGGCGGGGCGCCGCGCATGCACCAGCCCTCGCACCAGCAGGCGCCCTGGCACATCCCCGCCGTGCACACCACGCCCGGCAGCGGCAGCCGCCAGCGCGTGCCGCGCGGCAGCGGCGGCGGCGGCGGCCAGCTGTCTCACGGCGGCAAGCGTGGGCTGGACAACAAGAAGCCGGGCGCTGCCTTCAAGCTGGGCAAGCGCCAGGCCTACCTCAAGTACCTGGCCTACGAGGGCTGCTGGCAGCTGTGCCTGGAGGAGATGCTGACGGGCGGCAACGCCACCGCCACCACCTTCCTCACCGCCGGCTGCGGCACGCTGAAGAAGGCGCTGGGCCTGGAGCAGCTCTTCCTCACGCAGCACGCCGCCGACCCTTCCCTCTACACACAGGACGGCATGCAGTGCATCTGGTGGGTTGGCGGCGGCGGCGCCAAGCTGGGGGCTGGGCCGGGCCCAGGCGTATCCTTGCCACGAGGAACAGGGAAGCGTTGTTGTGTTGCCAGCACATCAGCCCCTCCCTCTCCACCGCTTGCTGACCCAACTGCCTGCCCCCTGCTGGCTGCCTGCCCTGCAGGGACGACCGCGAGGATGTCGTGCTGGCGGCGGAGGTGGGGCTGGAGGCGCCTGGCCCCAGCCACAGCGACGTGATGGCGCAGCAGCAGCTGTTTGCCAAGCAGCAGCAGCGCGAGCTGGAGGAGTATGAGAGGGAGATGGAGCGGCGGCAGGTGCAGGAGCAGAAGCGGGTGGAGCGGGAGGTGCAGCAGATGTCTCTGCGGCAGGGCGTGGAGCCGCTGGCGCGCGTCAGCGCTGGCAGCGGCGCGTCGGCCGGCGCTGGCCGCCTGCTGGGCGGGCCGGCGCTGGAGGTGACTGTGATGCGGGTGGTGGGCTGCGAAATGCTGACAAACGGGCTGACGGGCAGGGACTTCACCATCGTCACCTACGCCGGCACCCGGCCAGGTGGGGGAGGCAGCACATGCGCATCACAAGCCAGGCGCTCTGGCCGTGCCTGTTGGCTTTCCGCTGCTGCTGCTGCTGAGCGTGCAGAGTGTTGCATGCACAGTTCCATGCTGCACTAGCGCCACGCACGTCATCCGTCAGGCTGCCCCCTGTGCTGCGCAGCCACCGACGGGTGCGCCTTCACCAAGATTGGCAGCGACGGCAACGCGCACGACCAGGAGGTGGTGCGCCTGCCCAGCGAGCAGGGACAGCAGCAGACCTTCTCCGCGGAGCTGAGGGTGGATGGGCAGAGCCTGGCGCTGGGCACGCTGCAGGTGGCAGAGCTGCACAAGGTGGGCTGCTGGGTGGGTGGGTGGGTTGAGCTGCGGGCATCCCAGCAGCAGAGTTGGGGTTGCTCAGATGGTGCCAGCCAAAGCAGCCAGCTGGTGCCATGATGTGCCTGTTCTGGGGTCCTGTCCGCCATGCATGGTGACACCTGTCACCACCGTCCAGCATCTCCTCCCCGCGGCCCGCCACTCCCATGGCTCCGCAGATTGCCAACCAGGGCGACGCCCTGTTTGAGGCCTCCCCCTCCTCCGGCTTCCTCAAGTCCATCTTCCCCTGCCTGCGCAAGGGCAACAGCGCCACCGGCGGCAGCATGGCCTGGGTGAAGCTGGTGGACGATGAGGGGCGGGTGGCGGGGCACGCGGTGCTGTCGGCACGAATCAGCATGGCCCTGCTGGATGCACAGGTGGGCACGGGGGGGCAGGGGGATGAGGAGGGGAGGGACGCGCAAGCCGGCCTGCTCCACTGTGCGCCTTTGCTGCTGGGTCCAGCTGCCACTCCACAGACACAGCTGCCCTGTCCCACGCTTCACACCTCGCCCATGCCGGGTGCCTGGCGCAGGGCCTGATGGGACCGCCGTCCCGCGACACGCGGCGTGCCGCCACCGCGGCGGCCCTGTCTGAGGACACCCAGGGGCTCAGCATCAACCAGGGGGAGGGCGCGATGTCGCCGCCGCCGATGGCGCTGGCGCCCATGATGCCGCCCATGGCCTCGCCCATGCTGCCCTCCGGCGCCTGCATGACGCCGGCCACCGGCGGCAAGGCGCCCGCTACCGCGACTGGCGGCTACCTGCAGGCAAGGAGCGGGCCGCCGGGCCAAGAGCTGCGGTGCAGCATGATCCACTCACCCGGCGCTGCCCGCTGCCCGCCACCAACTGCCCGCCAAGCGCTGCCCCCCGCCCTGCCCCGCCGTCTGCAGGTCAGCAGCCTGCAGGTGTACGACGAGCTGCTGGAGGCGGCGCTGCGGGCCGTGGGGTGCGGCCCCCGCAACCTGGCCCTGCATGGCCCCTGGGTCTGGCTGCTGGACCGCTTCTGCGAGGCCTTTGCCGTGGGGCGCAACTACGCCCGCCTGTCCTACCTCAAGTGGGTGGTGCGCCCCGAGAACGCCACCCTCACCGCCGACTGCTTCGACGTGCTGCTGCGCGACATGGTGGCGCTGCAGCAGGCGGCGGGCGTGGAGGGACTATCCAGCGGGGAGCTGGGGGTGCAGGCGCAGGTGGGCGGGCCGGCGGTGGCTGCGCCGTGGTGTGCAGCATGAGGGGAGGCGGCTGGGCTGGGTGACATGGCGGCAGACCCCGCTGGCAGGGTGCGGTGGACCCGCGCAGCCCAGCACCAGCGACCCACCAGCGGCGCATGCCTGCCTGCAGGTGTCTGCCCGCATCGAGGAGCTGCTGCACACGGCCTTTGAGAACTACTTCATGCTCAGCGAGGAGACGGCCAGCGGCATGATGGACGGCGCGCTGGCGGTGCGGTCGGGCATCCCCGCCGTGCTGCGCCCCGCGGTGCAGCTGTTTGGTGAGGGCCGCCGGCGCCGGCGCTGGCGCTGGGCGCGGCATGCTTTGCAACTCTTGCCTGGACATCTGTGGCAGCCCGGCTGGATCCAAGCAGCCCGCCACGTGCCTGCCTGAGACGACCTGCTTGCGGCCGCCCCTGCGCTGCCCGCCTTCCGCTCCCGTGCAGCGCTGGTGCGCGACGCCACAAGCCCCGCCGACCAGGAGTGGCTGCAGGAGCGCTTCCGCATCGCCGCCCGCAAGCGCTACCAGGCGCTGCTGACCGCGGCGGAGCTGCAGCGCCCCTCCTCGCCCCGCCGCCAGGCCGACGCGCGGCAGGGGCAGGTGGACAGCCCCGAGGCGGTGGCGGCGTATGGTCGGCTGGAGGAGCTGTGCCGTGCCATCATGAACGAGCTCCGTGCCGACGACCAGATCAGGGACGCCCGCATCCTGCCCGCCTTTGTCAACCTGCCAGACATCACGGCCCTGGAGTATGTCAATGTGAGCGGGGGGTGGTGTGGGCTGGGGCAGGGGGACGGGCGGATGCGTGTGTGTTGCGAGGTGGGAGTGCCTGCTGACCTCCCCGCTGACCCTTTTCCCCCTCCTCCTTCCCCTCCTCCCGGCAGGGCATCATCAAGCACTTGCGCAAGGTGCTGGGGCGGCACCCGCCACCCGCCCCCACCGAGGCCGCTATCCGCCTGGTGGAGGCGGTGGGCAAGCTGCAGAACTTTGTGCACCGCCACAAGTATGCCGAGGCCAACAGCCGGCTGAACAACCGAGACATCTTTGGCCGCTTTGTGCTGGAGTGGATCAGCAGCAGCGCCGCGCAGCTCAGCCTGCGGTGCCGTCGCCTGGAGCAGGGCGTGGCGGGGCAGCACGGCTGGCAGGAGTTTGCCACAGACGGTGAGCTGGCGGGTGCTGGTGGGGGCCCGCGGCCTGGGCCTTGGGTTGGGCACTGCAGGCGGCGCCTGATGCATCCCCAACCCTGCCTGTCCCTGCCTCTCACAGCCTTCTGGGTCAGCCCACATGCCATGCCACACGCGCCCTGCTGCCTGCCACCTGCCGCCGCCGCAGGCAAGAACAAGGTGGCCCACCTGGTGGAGGACATGCTGAATGCGGTACAGTCGGAGATGGGGCGGTACCAGCGCATCATCACCTACTGGCCCATGTATGGCCCAGACCTGGAGCGGGCGGTGACGGGGGCACTGCGGGAGGCCACCATGGGCGTGTCCCGACAGTGCGGCCTGGTGCAGATCAAGGTGGGCGGGCGGGGGGGCGAGACCGAGGATGCGGCGGTGGTGGGTGGGTCAGGGCGTGGGGGGTGGTGGGCTGCCGGCTGTTTGCAGCTCTTTGAGGTGTTCGCTTGTGGCATCCGCTCACCGGCAACCTGCCCTTGCAGGAGGGCGGGCAGTCTCCCGAGCCGCTGGCCATCCAGCCGTACAACCGCGCGCAGCAGCGCCCCGGCGGCGGCGAGACAGCGGCCGCGCAGCGTGCGGGGCGCACCGCCTGGCGCTGGGTGCAGCAGGCGGGGGCGGACCGTGCGGTGGTGCCCGCCACCTACCGCGGCGCTCCCATGGTGCTGCAGCAGGGCATCAACCCCAACCAGGCGCTGCTGCTCAACAGCCTGCGCCGCCTGCTGCAAGTGTCGCCCCAGATGGAGCAGGAGCTCAAGCGCTGGTGCGCAGAGCCGCTGGCAGACTCGCTGGCTGCGGGGCTGCGCGGCGCGGCCGCCGCCAACGCCTCGGCGCCCGACCGCGGCGCCGGCACCGACCGCCGCCTGCGCCGGGAGGCCCCCAACCTGGGCGCCCAATTTGCCCAGCTGGTCAAGGAGCTGCGGTCAGAGTACTTTGCCGCCATCACGCTGTGCGCTGAGCGGCTGGCCGCTGAGCTGGCCAAGATGCCGGCCACGTCGGTGGTGCAGCTGCTGCGCCGGGACGGTGTCTTTGCGTCCACGCAGCAGCTGTCGGGGGCGGTGAGTCGGCCGCGGTGGAGGGCTGTGTGTTTGCTGTGGGCAGTGCCCACCGCTGCGTTCAAACTTGCATGGCCTGTCGGAGGCTGCCCATCCTGCTCTGTGGCTTCAGGCACCTACAACCCCTGCCCCTCGCCTGCCTCCATAAGCCTTACCTACACTGCCCCGCCCTGCAACTCCTGCCCTGCCGCCCTGCCCACCTACCCCCCGCCGCAGCTGATGCGCATCATGGAGGAGGTGGAGAAGCTGCTGCACTGGCTGAGCAACGTGCTGGACAACCGCGTGTTTGTGGCGCTGACGCGCGGCCTGTGGGACCTCACGTCCAAGGATGTGCTGGACTACACAGAAGACCTGCGGGAGGGGCGCGGAGGGCAGCGGGTGGGTGGCAGGCGGGGCGAGGCCGGTGGCGCCAGGCAGTGTTGCCTGGAGCGGGCTGTGGGCCGGGGGCTGTGTGTCTGCTGCAGGAGCACGCAACATGTCGGGCGTTGATGTGATTTGCGCTCCCTCCCTCTCCCCTCGCCCCTGCCTGCCTGGGTGGTTGCAGGATGCATGGCGCGGGCGGCAGAGCGCCGCCACCACTCTGGCCCACATGGACAACTTCTTCAAGACGGTGCTCACCAGCTCCATGGGCAACGACCTGCAGGCGCGTGGTGGTGCGGTGGCGGTGGGCTGGCAGCTCTTCTGCCCCCTGGAAGGCGTCAGCAGCAGCTGCCTGTCGGCGCATGCGTGGACTGGCCATGGTTTGGACGTGTTGCGTGCCTGCTCAACCTTCCTGCGCCCCACCCTGGCCCCTGCAGAACAAGGACCTGGCGCTGCCGCAGCACTCGGACCGTGCCCACAAGCTGCTGGCGGACAACGACACCACCGTGCACATGTCGTATGATGTGAGCAGGGGCAGGGCTGCGTGCTGTGTTGTGGCGGTGGTGTGCATGTTGTTGTGCAGAACAGCCAGCTGTTCGTGCTCGTGCGGCACTAGTGTGGCTGCTGCTGCTGGCCGCTGCCACCACACCTGTTCACGGGCCGGCTTGCTGTGCTGGATGCAGGTGTACTGAGGCGGCGGTGCGAGCCTCGACTAGGCAGGCAGACAGACATTACCTTCCAAATTTGGACTGCTCGACAGATTGACTAGGACAGCCACCCTTCATTTAACAGATATCCAGCTTTGACTGCGGCGCATTTTCATTACTGTGCCGACCTGAGTGCCTCGCCATGCTCCCGCTGTTGCCTCCCGTCCCACCATTCGTTGCGGAAAACTTCATGTCTAAACTCCCCATGCGCCATCAGCATGCACTGTAAACGAACACCCACCCACTTCCAGCCACGCTGGGCGGCGCTTCACATGCAAGCAGCTCAAGTGCAAGATGAATCAGTTCTTCAATGAAATGGAGGCGGGCAATGGAAGGAGCAGGGCAGCAAAAGCAAGCTGGAAGAGGACCATGCGGGACAAGGAACAGCACATCAAGAGGCAGGATTGCAACCAGCTACGGTTGCTGTTGCTGCTGCTGGCGTGACATCCGTCCGCAGTCCAAGTCATACAGAGGCAGCTGCAGCGCCTCCTGAATGTACTGCAGCAGCTCTTCTTCTCGGATGTTGTCCTGCAGTGTCAGTCAGCGTGTGGGTAGGGTGTGGGTCGGCAGTAGGCAGGCGGCAGGTGGCGGCCGTGGCAAGCCGGGCTGGCTACCATGCGCTCCCTTCACTGCCCTGCACGCTCGCTTGCCTCTATGCTGCGCGCCACCGACTCATACACGTGGAAGGCGTTGGCGGCATCCTTGTCCTTGCGCTCACGCATGAACCGCCACACCTGCTGGGCAGGAGCAGCGCGGGGCGGGCGGGGGTGGTGGGGTCGGAGCAGGCATGCAGTGCCTGCTGGCATCACCCGCTCGCAAACCCACCTCCCCACACACGCACCCGCGCCCACCCCACCTTGGCGTCTGCGTCGTATGAGCACTCTATGATGCGCATGTCGTACATGGCGGCATCCTCGCCCTCGGGGAACTCCACACGCGCGCCTGGGGGCAGGTGGGCAGGAGCAGGTGGGCAGGTGAGTATGGGAGGAAGGCCGGGAGGGGTGGGGAGGGTGTGGTGTGGCGGCTGTGAACGGGCCTGAAAGCATATGCCGGCAGCAGCCCAGCCGCAGCCGGCCATATAGCCAGCCTGCAGCCGCTGGTGTGCGAGCCTGGGCCTCACCCGGCAGTGCATTGTAGCCCCGGTGGTGCCCCTCCGGCAGCTCTCTGCGCGTCTCCAGCAGCTCCAGCAGCTGGCCGTCGCGGGGGTGCAGGCGCAGGCGGAAGTCCACGCTGTTCATGTGGGCAAACTTCCACTTGAGCAGCTCGGGGCAGGTGCCGGGCACGTAGCGGTCCTGCGGGGCGGGTGCGGGGCCAGGGAGGCAGGGAGGCAGGGACAGCCAGCTCAAGTATCGGGGCGGGTGCATGCCGCAGCAACACACCTCCAGCTCCGCCCATGTGCCGGCCCCAGCCTGCCAGCGACCACCTCCAGCTGCCCCACACACCTGCGCCCCCTGGAAGATGAGGCCGTCTGCCTCGTGGCACAGGTTTGGGATGAACTCGTGGATGAGCTTGTGCGCCTTGGTGAGCGGCCAGAAGTCCTTGCGCCGCACGTGGAAGGCCTCCTGCAGGCGGTGGGGAGCGCGGAGAGGGCAGTCAACAAGAGGTGCAAATGCAGAGCACATACACATAGAAAGGTACCCCACAGGCACGCAAACCCCCAACCTCCCGGACCGTTGAGCTCACCTTTTCGTACTGGTACGGGTACTGCCACTGCTTGCTAGTGATCTTGTGCCGCTCCAGCTGCCGAGGCTCGACCACAAACCGCTGGATGAGCTTGAAGCGCTCCTGCGGGTGCAGGGGGCAGGCACGGGCAGCTCAGCACCTCTTGGCGGCGAGTGGTCTGCGCAGCCCTGAGAAACTGCGACAAGCATGCATAGATCCGGAAAGACAGTGTGTGTAGAGAGGGGGCGAATGTCACCCCAGCTGTGGCCTCCAGCCCAGCCCACCATCCAGGGGTGGTCCACCAGCGAGCGCCCGTTGAGCATGACCATGTCGTACGCCAGGAAGCGCCGCTCCTGGCGTCCCTCCTCCAGCACCTCGTCCACAACCATCTCCCCATCCAGAACGGTCTGCGGCAAGGGTGGTTGTCGTGGAGAGAAAGAGCGCGCGTGTGTGTGTGTGCAGGGGACGAGGGCAGACGGTGGGCAGGGAGCCGCGAAGTTTGGCAGGGGTACATGGTGAGGTGCAACATGGGGAAGGCAAGAGCATTACTTGGCAGAGCACCCGGGGCGGGGAGGGCTCAGCTGTGCCTGCGCCTGCGCACTCACCCAGTGGTGCATGGGCCCCACAGGCCCCTTGGCTGGCTGGCCGGGCTGCAGCGGGGTGGGCCACCGCATCTGGACGCGGGTGATGGAGAACTTGCGGTCCACCAGGTAGGTGCCCCAGCGCAGCAGGACGAGCATGTAGCGGGTGCCGTCGGCCTTCCAGGTCACCCTGATGTGGGGCCGAGGAGGAGCGAGGGGAGAGGAAAAGGCATGCGGAGGGTCAAGGGTAGGTATGGGAGGCCTGAAGGGCTGCAGGGCTGGGCGCAGCACCTCGGTACAATCGTGCAGGAGCGCAGCAGCAGGCAGAAAGCAGGCAGGAGAGCACGGCAGGCACAAGAAGCAGTGCCCGCCTCACCAGTACTGCCGCTCCTTGAGCAGGCTGAGGTTGGACTTGTCCAGGCTGACGGGCTGCGAGCCGGGCAGCCAGACCTTGTGCCTGTGCTCCTCGGGCCCCAGGATGGCATCCATCAGCTTCAGCTGCAGCGACTGGGCCTCGGGGATGTCCACCTGCAGAGGAGGCACATGAGCACGGTGAGCAGAGCAGCAAGGTGGTGGACTCTTCAGTAAGAAGCTTGCAGGCGGGCGGCACTCAGCCCAGGTGCGGCGCCCCACTCCGCTCCGCTCCGCTCAGGTCTGGCTAAGCTGCGACTCAGTTCCGCCCTGCCCGCACCCTCAGCCCGGCTCACCCCTTCCCCAATCATGTCGTCGTGGTGCAAATCCTCCTCCAAGCCCAGCCCCTCTGCGCTTCCCTCCCCTTCATCCTCCTGCTCCGGAGAATCGCCCGCCTTCCAGGATGGCTGTGGTGGGAAGGGGAAGTTGCTGGGCAGCCGCTCATGGTAGTACTTGAACAGCTCCCTGCAGTACCACGGGCGGGACAGGCAGGCTGAAAAAGCAGGCAGGACGGGCTGGGAGCTGATGACAACATCGATGCATCATGCAGAGAAAACACCGGCAGCAACAGGGCAGAGGCACGTCCGTCCACGGTCGCCCCCCGCACACCACCTGCCACCTGCCCTGCACTCCGTTCACCCTCCCCAACCTGATGTAGTAGTGCTTGTAGATGCCGGGCGGCCGCTTGTGAGCAAACGCGTCCAGCGCCTTGGGCACCGTCCAGCTCATCATGCGGGCCAGGTAGGATGCCACCATGTAGCCAGTGCGGTTGAAGCCGTGGGTGCAGTGGATGAGCGCCATGCCCTGCGGGCACTGCTGCAGGTAGGCATACATCTCCCAGCACAGGTCGGTGACGGCCTCGGGGGGTGGCGCAGCGCCGCGGCCGCGGCACGGGATCTGCGAGCGGGGCGGCGCACGGGGCAGGGGGCCAGGTGGCGGGGTGCACGCTCCTCCCGGAGTGTGCAGTGCAGTAACGTGCTGACCAGCCGATGCAGATGCCCCCTTCCCATCAAAAACAGCATCACAGCCACTGGCTCTCTGGTCCGCTGCCAAGCACGCGCACCACGAGCCAGCCCTGCTCGGCTTCCTGCGCCCAGCCCAGCCAGCGGCCGCCACGCCCCCGCTTGCCTTGATGTACTGCACCCCTCGCTCGTGCCACTGCCGCGCATCGTAGTAGCGCGAGCTGTTGGTGAGGTCGATCACCAGGCCCAGCACAGCGGGCACCTTGGAGCGCTTCGGCGCCGGCGGCTGGCCTTCGGGGCCGGGCTGTGCGTCAGGCGGCGGCGGCAGCATCACGTCCAGCGTCATCGCCCCCACCACCTTGCGCGCCTGCGCCACCGCGTCGTCTATCGTGAAGCGGTGCTCGGGCGCGATGTGGGAGTCGAAGCGCGCCCCCAGCGGCACCTTCATGGGGATGAAGCGCTCGATGGGGCGGCCCATGGCGGGGCACTCGCGCCACCCCCGCGGAATGCCCATGTCATCAACCTCATCGTCTGCCGCCTGGTCGTGTGATGCCGCCACGGCGGGGTCGCCCTGCGGGCGAGCGCGGCAAAGCAGGGCGGCGCCCCCAGATGAGAGGAAACGCGGTTGAGAAGCAGCTGGGTGGCGGCAAGTCCCGCCTGCCGCCAGGCGGCGGCGGCAGCGTAGCCCCCCAGTCCTGGCGGCCCTTGGGAGGCAAGTGACGGATCTCCCGCAGCTCTCCCCACCTCGAGGCCCTCCAGAGCCGCCCGCTTGGCTGCGGCCTCCTCCGCAGGCCCCTTCCCATCGTGGCCCCGCTTGGGCATTGCTCCTCCGCCCCCTAGGGGGCTCTTTTGATCGGTAACAAGCCTATGAATCAGGGAGAGGGCGGAGAGCCGAGCAGGCCTCCACCGAGGCAGGGAGTGATCGGTGAGCGCCCCAAGGTATTGATTGGCCCAGTGAGGTGGATGGGAAAGTGTAGATGCAAAGCGATTGTGTTTTGCAAGATTGCACAGTTGGCGCCGAGGTGGCGAATTGTCTTGCAAGCGGCATGCACCATTATGCATATCTCTAACTTCACTTCAGGCCTCAGGAACTCCAAAACACAAGCCCCCCTTTGCTCGCCTCACCGTGAGCCACACGCATGCATTTCCTGAGTTGAGCGGCGGCTGGCTGAGCATGGCAGACGCAAAGAAGAACGATCCCCGCACGGTGTTCGTGCGGGGAATCGATGCCAGCGTCACAAACGAGCAGCTGCAAGAGTTTTTCAGCGAAGTTGGGCCCGTGAAGAACGCCTTCCTGGTCAGGAGGGGCAAGGATGGGCCGCACAGGGGCTTTGGCTTCGTGCAGTTCGCGGTGCAGGAGGATGCCGAGCGGGCGGCGGCAGAGGTGCCCGGCAAGGAGCTGGCGGGGCGTAAGCTCAAGGTGCAGACCGCTGTGCTGCTCATGCCCGCAAGTCTGCTGAGCAGAAGAGCCTGCTGCCTGCATGCCTGCCTGCCAGTCCGCCCTGGTACCAGCCGCCTATCCCTCTCCACCAAAGCGCAGGTGGAGGGTGCCGTGAAGCGTGCGCCGCTGGAAGAGCGGAAGAAGCGAAAGCAGTCAGGGACAGCAGCAGCACCCCAGCAGCAGCAGCAGCAGCAGCAGCATCCAGCAGCAGAAGTGGCGACGGCGCAGGCGCCCGCCGCCAAGAAGCCGCGCCCATCCAAGCCGGCCGGCAAGCCTAGCAGTGCGGCAGCAACAGCCGCAGAGGCCAAGCACAAGTGGCTGCGGACGGTTGCCATCGCGGGGCTGACCCCAGAGGCAGTGGACAGCGCCCTGCAGATGGCCAGGGCAGCCGGCGAGGTGTGGCTGCTGTTGCCTCCGCCTGCCGGCGCGCCCTGCTTGCATGCATGCGGTTGGTCGGGGCGATTATGATTGCCGTTTGTGTGCAGAAACTGCCAGTGTACTGCTGCGTTCAACGCCGTGCACACCTGATGTGCAAACTGCAGGTGGAGGAGGTGATCCGACCCATGCCCGACCAGCTGGGCGCGCAGTTCAAGCTGAGGAGGGACGGGTGCACCGGCGAGTCGCTGCTGGCTGTCTACAAGACTGTCAAGCAGGCCACCATGGCGGTGGAGCAGCTGCATGGGCAGGTGGCCGTTGCCGGCGGCGAGCCGGCTGCAAAGAAGCAAAAGAAGGGGGGCAGCAAGGCGGCAGAGGCAGGCGGCGGCGGCGCAGCAGGGTGCCGCGTGTGGGCGCGGCAGCTGTCTGGCGACGGGCTGCACCAGAAGCGCTGGCGCCTCATCGTGCGCAACCTGCCCTTCACGGTGAGCGTGTGTGTGGCAGGCAAGATGGCAGCAGCAATCCAAGGCCCTCCATGCAAGGCCCTCTTATGCAGCAGTTTGCAGAGCAGAGGTGGGGCACAAGCGGGACGCTGCAGAGGCTGTTGCCCGTTCAGTGCGTGTCCCCCTCTTGCTGTTTGCTGCAGGCCAGCGAGGCCGACCTGCGGCAGGCCTTTGCGCCCGCCGGCTTTGTGTGGGAGCTGTCTCTGCCGCGCAGCGCCAGCGGGCGCGGCCGCGGCTTTGCCTTTGTGGGCTTCACCTGCAAGGCGCACGCGGAGCGAGGCATCAGGCTGGTCAACGCCACGGTGGTTGCGGGGCGGCCCGTGGCGGTGGACTGGGCGGTGGCCAAGGCGCAGTATGACACGGCGCAGCCAGAGCAGGAGGCAGGGGCGGCTGGCGAGGGTGGCACGGCGGGTGCCGGCGTGGCGGGCGGCAGCTTGAGGCAGCTGATGGGGATTGATGGCGTGGACAGCGACTCGGAGGATGATCAGGCTGGACCGCCGGCGCAGATGGTGGGGCCCCGGGACACGGACTGAGCTGTTGAAGTCGCAGATTGCGGCGCACAGCGTAGGGGAGCCACTCGTTTGGGTCGGTGGATGTCATCACCGCTCATGCCGTGCGTGGTTGTGCTGCTGTGGTGCAGGGGCACGAAGGCGACGACGGCGAGGCGGCGGCACCTGTGGAGCCGGAGCAGGAGCGGCGCATGCTGGCCAGCGTGATTGACGGCATCCTGGACGGCGGCGGTGAGGAGGACGAGCCTGAGGCGGCAGCAGAAGGGTTGAGTGAGTCGGAGGAGGAAGATGGCTCTGAGGATGAGGACGGCGATGAGGCTGCCCAGGAGGAGAGCGACAGCGAAGAGGGGGAGGAGGAGGAGGAGGAGGCGGACGAGGAGGCGCCTGCTGCCAGCGTGGCCGCAGCCGACCCATTCAGCCGCAGCCAGCTGCAGAAGAAGGCCGAGGCGGCGGCGACCGCGGCGGCGGCGGTGGCGCCGGGTGCCGACCAGGGTCGCCAGCGAGCTGAGCCAGAGGCCGACGCCACCGTGTTCATCCGCGGCCTGCCGCTGGATGTGGGCAAGGAGCAGGTCTTCCTCAAGATGAAGGTGGGGAGCAGGGAGGAGGTGGCTTGGCGATTGCGAGCGTGCGGGGGTGTGGGGGTGCCCGAAGAGCTGCCAGGCCGCCGCGTTCTGGGGGCGCAGGCCGGCCAGGGCACGCATTCCTTTCTCGTGCATCTGCTCCATACTCACGTACGCACCCCCATGCAGGTGTACGGCCCCGTGCGCTCCTGCCGCCTGGTGTTGGACAAGGACTCGGGCAAGCTCAAGGGCACCGCCTTTGTGGACTTCTACCGGCGTGCATCGGCGCAGGCGGCGTCAGACGCGTGCGCCAAGGGCAGGTGTGCAGGGAGGCTGGCCGCCTTGCACAGTGTCTGTTGGTTCAGAGGGAGGAGGCTGCAGGGGCGTGTGCACCAAGGCTCACGTGGATCCCCTTGTTCTGCGCTGTGCGGCGGTGCCCGCCTGTCTGCAGGCGCAAGGAGGGCCCCGGAGTGGTGATTGGGGGGCGTGTGGCGGACGTCGACCTGGCTGTGGGGCAGGAGGAGGCGCGGGCGCTGGCGGTGGCAAAGGCGGCAGAGCGTGGCCCCCGCGACAGCCGCCGCCTGGCTCTGGCCAAGGAGGGCCAGATTGTGGAGGGCTCCCCCGCCTGGGAGGACATGTCGGCGGGAGACAGAGCCAAGCGCAAGCGCGCAGCAGGTTCGGCAGGCGGCCTGGTCACGCCCCTATCCCCTGTGTCTCCTGGCGCCATCTATGTGCTCCCCTGCTGACCTTGCCTGCCCCTCTGGCTGTGCCCGTGCGCCTGCCGCTGCCGCTGCCGCAGAGGAGAAGAAGCTGAAGCTGAAGAGCCCGAACTTTGTGGTCAGCGACTGCCGCCTCAGCGTGCGCAACGTGCCCACCGCCTGGACAGAGAAGCAGCTGAAGCAGGCCTTCATCGCAGCGGTGAGCCTTCGGGGTGCCAAAGGGCGTTCCCGTGCAGCGTCCTTAGCGCTTTCATGAGCTGGGCTGGAGTGAGTACCACCTGGCGCGCTTATGGCTTTGCAGCCGTGACTACCCTGCTCTTTGCCTGTGACGGGCCTCCGACTGACACCCCGGCTTCACTCCTCACTTCCTCCCCCAGGTCAAGGAGCGCGCCAGCAAGGCGCAGCCGCAGGTGAAGCAGGTGAAGATTCTGATGGATGAGGAGCGGCTGGGCCCGGATGGCACGCCGCGCAGCAAGGGCATCGCCTTTGTGGAGTTCACGGAGCACGAGCATGCGCTGTGTGCGCTGCGCCAGCTCAACAACAACCCCGCCGCCTTCAGCAAGGTGCGTGCCGACTGGCAACAGCCCAGATCCTGGAAGCGAGCATTGTCAGAGAGCCCTCGCCATGTGTCACGGTGTGCTTCGTCGTTTTGCTGTCCTTAAATGCCCTGCCCCTGCATACCCACCCCTTGACCTACCCACAGGAGCGGCGCCCCATTGTGGAGTTTGCTCTGGAGAATGTGAAGACGCTAAAGCTGCGGGAGACCAAGCTGGGCAGATCCAAGCAGCCGCGAGAGCAGCAGCAGCACCAGCAGCAACAGGAGCGGCAGGGAGCGGGAGGTGCTGCTTCGGGCACGGGTGGAAGCCAGCAGCAGCAGCACCACCAGCAGGGTGAGAAGGACGGGGCGGAGGCGCCTGAGGCAAAGTCCAAACGGAAGCTGCGCAAGGAGCGGCGGCTGATGCTGCAGGAGCGGCGCAAGGAGCAGAAGCAGCAGGAGGCAAGCGGAGGCGGGGCGGCGGCGGCCAACGGCACGCCAGCAAGCTGCGAGAAGAGCCGGTCAGCGAAGCGGCGCGAGCTGCGCAAGCGCAGGCAGGAAGGGCAGCAGGGCGTGGCCCCCGCAGCAGCGGCGCCGGCAGTCAAGACGGCACCTGCCACCGCCGCTGCAGCCAAGCCCGCCAAGCCCGCGGCTGGTGCCAAGCAGCAGCAGCAGCAGCAGCAGCAGCAACGGCCACGTTTGGGGGTGAACAGCAGGGCGGCCAAGGTGGCCGCGACCTCTCAGCAGGAGCAGCAGACGCAGCGGCGGAAGCGTTCTGCCGACGAGCTCATTGACAAGCTGGCGGAGGGACCCAAAGGCAAGCGTCTGGATGGCACCGCCGACTGGCATGCGTGCAGGCTGCCACTGCCGTGATAGATTTGTCGCCTTTGAAGACACTGGGATTGGCCTGCTGTTTGCAGGCGAGCTGCGGGCGAGGAAGCAGCGCAAGAAGGAGCAGACTGACAGCGTGGACCAGCTGGCGCGCCAATACCTCACCAAGTTCTTCTCGGATGCGCCCGCTGGGGCTGGCAAGGCTGGCAAGGGCAAAGGCGGCAGCAGCGGCAACGCGGGAGCAGCGGCCGGCCAGCGCTCGGCGCTCAAGCGCTGGTTTGAGTGATGGGTCAGCGGCTCAGGTGCAGGCTGTTATTGGTAGGGCGATTCTTTTCATGCCTTGAGTGTAATGAACCCCAACAGCAGATCACCAAGCACGCGTTGCATGTGGGGCGGCGGCACACGGTTTGTGCGCTGGCTCCTGGTGACACAGCCTGCCGCGGCTCCCAGGCTCGCCTCCTTCTCCTATCGCTTACGTACATCAGCTGGTGCCTACCATGGCGTCTGGGTGCCTGGCGAGAGCCAGCACAGCATGGTTGCGATCACGGGCGGCGGAAGGCTTGCTGCGCCCTGCGGGGCAGCTGCCTTGGATCTCCAGGGCGCAGCCCCAGCAGCGTCGCGCATCCCAGCAGCTGCGGGCGCAGTCCACCGCCGCGCCGCCCTACTGGGACGACGATAGCAAGCCCAGAGTCAACGTGTACTCAGACTACACCATCTACAAGGTGCGACGACATTGTTGCAGGAGCGCTGCCTTGCCAGAACCAACCCCGCCCCCATTCGGCAAGTCCCGCGGGGCGGGAGCGAGCTTGCGCTGCTCACCCTGGTGCATCCTCTGCTCTGCACTGCAGGGCAAGGCCGCCATGGCGATCAAGGTGATCAAGCCCACCTGGGAGTCCATTGGCAGCGGCCTGAAGATCAGCCGGGAGGGCACGCTGCTGCTGGAGTTTGCCGCCAGCGTCGGGCCGCAGCAGTATGACTGGACCAAAAAGGAGGTGCGCTTGCGTGTGCTGGCAGCGGCAGGTGCTGTTGGGACAAGGGATCACCATGTTGCGCATGCAATGCGCGTTGAACCCCGCAGACATTTGGGCTGAGCGCGCTCGAGTGTGCGGCGGTGCTGGAGGCGGCGGACGCGCGGCAATCCTTTGAGGCGCTGCACGACCCCAACAAGGGCAGGGGAGGAGAGGGCACCGTGTACAAGAAGTTCAAGTGCGCTGCGGCTGCGTTGTTGTGTACTCTGCTTGTGGGCATTGCAGTCTTGCAGCTCCAGACCGATGTGCATCCTGCGTGGGATGGGCCATCACACCCGCCTCGTTCAACTGCGGCTGCCCTTGGTGCCCGCTTGCTTGCTTCCCGCAGCATGCGGCCCGCCCCTGACAAGGGCTGGTTCTTCAGCATCGCCTCCACCGCCAGCGGCAGCCAGGTCAACATCTCCTGCAACGTCAGCGACGCGGAGCTGCGCCTGGTCACGAGGGTGTTTGATGTGAGCTGGCAAACTGGCTGCTAATGGGGGGTCTATGCTTGAAGATGCTAAATGTGGCGCTGGGGACTGATGGTGCCTTTCATGTGAAACTGTGTGTGAAGCTGTTCGCTGCATCATCAGGCTGCATGCCGTGTATTGAGCTCCTCAACTGGCTCATGTGCGTGCAGTTTGTGATTCCACGCCTGCTGGGCTTCGACGAGCACTTTGCGGGTGAGTGCCATGGTGCTGGGTGGCAAACACTGCATAGCCTTCACTCTGCCTGATCCACCGGGACGTCCCTGTCCCACTTGCAGGCGCGCCGTCTGTGGTGATGCCCGAGAGCGCTGCGGCGGCAGCACCAGCAGAGGCTGCCGCTCCCTTTTGATGACGACGCTGGAGCGGGGTTCCACCAGTTGTAATGTAGGCTGAGCGTTTTCGGCAGATGCTGCCAGCAACCCCATTTTGCCTGGCATCATCCATGTTGCTGTCAATGCTATGCGATGTACAGCTCCATCCTTTCCAGAGCCTTCGACTCAATGAGAGCGCGCGCTTGCGGTTGTTGTGGCGGCAGGGCAGGAAGTTGCTCGCTGGGCTGCCAGGGGATCAGCGCTGGTGTGACCTCTGTTCCTGTGTCCTGGCAGGGACTCCTTGCTGGCAAATTTGCACGCACTCGGTACTACAAGGCCTTACCCGGTACGCCTGCGGGACGCATGACGCGATAGCTCGCGCAATGATCCACGCAATTCAACTTGTTGCTGCTACAGTTTACCTCTCGTTTCGTGCCTGCGCGGGGGAAAAGAAGCCGCCAAACCGACGACCGCCTCGCGAGTGGACCGCCCCGTTTGCGCATCACCCGCGTTAGCCTCCCAAACGCTTCTGTAGACGCTAGGTAGCCAATCAGCCCACGGCATGGTTTTCCTGCAAGAGCTGTCTCCTTCCCAGCCAGTCGGCAGGCCCCAACACCCCCGTTTGTCAGCTTGCGCTGTGCGATTACGAGTGGGCGCGGGTGTGGTCGATCCATGCCGCGTCGGGCGAGCTTGAAACACACGCTGCCCGCCCACCTCCGCCGCCGCCGCCGCCGCCACCCGCTGCTGCTGCAGGGTGTCTTGACCCGGCCAGAAGCACCATGCAAGTGGATGGGGTGCAGGTGGGTGACCAGGGTGTTGACACGTGCATAGTAGAGCAGCCTTGCAATTGCCCTACACACCATGCCACCGCGTGTGTTCCAACGAGTCGAGATTGCAGCGCTGCACCACAGCTGCCGCACCACTGCTTGTTTGCTTGTGTGGGCTTAAAGTCTGGTAAAGCAAGAACTAGCTTGCAACATAGACTCCCCGCCGAAACGGGACGGGAACCGGGCGAAAGCAGAGAAAGCAATAAAACAGGGGTGGAGCAAGGCGACATGCAACGCAAGCAGCTGACAGGGCACGCATCGAAACGTGTGTATGACTGGCAAAGTGGCATGGCGCATTGGGGAGAAACGCAACGGTACGGGAGCATGGGCTGGCCAAACGGCAGTGCGGAACGCTAGGTCACTAGAAAAGCAGGGAAAGGCGCACTATGTATGCAATGAGGGCAGCCCCGGCTCGGGGCCGTTGAGAAAGCAGTGGGCGGGAGGGGGGAGGCCCCGGTGTGGGCGGGCCCCATCGAGGGGGGATGGGGCGCGCAAGCGGCCAGATGGGGCGGGGCGCGGGCGGCAGTGGAGTCCTGCGGCTGGGTGGGATATAGGGCAATGAGCGTTGAGCAGTGTGCGATGAGCAATGAGCAATGAGCAGTGAGCAGCCCCTCCCTAAACAAAGTGAAGCGCAGGACGGGGTCCGGTGGATGGGAGGCAAGGAAACGCGGGGGGTTGCCACGTGCGCTACCGCCGCCGCCGCAGGCAGCACCCCTGCGGCGGCGGCAGCGGCAGCAAGCTTGGGCCCAAACGCCGTGCCGCCGAGTCCCGTGGCTGCGACCGTAGACCGCGGGCCGGAAACTGCGGCCGCAGCTCGGCGGCACGTGGTTCTGGTCAAATCGCCAAGCGTGCAGCAGCGCCGAACCACGCTTCCCGGCCTCGGCGCATGCCTTCAGGGGCCCCCTATCGCTGGGCACACCCCTCCAACACCGAACATGCGCCCGGGGGGGAGGGCGGCCCGGGCTGCCCAGGCCAAAGTGGGCCGCCCTCGAGCAAGAGGCGGCCGGGCTGTGTGCTGAATGAATGAATGAACCACAGCTGGGCCCGTGGCATTCACTTGCCCCTTATGGATGCAACAGACAGACAGACATAGAACTGGTCAAGACACACCGCTTGCAGGCAGCAGAGGCTCACTAGGACGATGTGGAGGCTCAGAGGAAGGATGTGTCGTCCTGCCTTGGCCGCCAGGAGGGCACAGCCACGCTGTCGTGGAGCAACCTGACAGTGACTGTGACGGATGTGAAGGGCAACGACCGCCACATTCTGAAGGGCGTGGACGGCTATGTGGAGCCCAACCACATGATGGTGGGTGGGGGAGCGCAGAGGCATGCACCCAGGGCGCGCTGGTCAATAGCCGCAGAGGCACTCACTGTTGTCCGCCCATGTGCCAACCTGCCACGGTGCCTGTGTGTAGGCCATCATGGGCCCCAGCGGCTGCGGCAAAACTACGCTGCTCGACACTCTCGCGTAATTTTTTTTTGTTTGTGTTGTTGTTTGGCATCAGCAGAAGCAGGGGACAGGCCTTGCCTGCTTGAATGTGCCAGCTGAGCCAGGCCACCACTGCCATAGCTGCCAGGGCCCAACCTACTGCTGCCGTTTCCGCTGCCTGCAGGGGCCGGCTGGCCCATACCGCCCGGCACACTGGCGACATCCGCGTCAACGGCCACAAGAGCCAGCTGAGCTACGGCCGCAGCGCCTACGTCACCCAGGATGACGTGTTGATTGGCACGCTCACTGTGTACGAGACAATCTTCTACAGTGCAAAGCTGCGCCTGCCGCAGGTGCGCACCCGCCTACTGCTGACACTGCGACATGCTTCTTGGGCGCAAGCTGGGGTGACTCACGCCTGTGCTGGCCCTGCAGAGCATGCCCGGGGCAGAGAAGGAGCAGATTGTGCGTGACGTGATTGCAGAACTGGGCTTGGAGTCCACCAGCGACACGTGAGGCGCACCCATACACACATTGCTGAGGAGGTGGCTGGGCAGGCTGGGGCGCAGCCGGGAAGGGCAGGGTGGTGGCTGGGATGCGTGCATCGCTAGAAGCACATTGTGCACTGCTGGCAGCAGAGCCAGAAAGCTCACTGTGTTCCTGCTGCCTGCTGCAGCTACATTGGCACCTGGCACCTGCGTGGTGTGTCAGGTGGCCAGCGCCGGCGCGTCAGCATCGGCTGTGAGCTGGTCACCAGCCCCAAGCTCATCTTTTTAGACGAGCCAACTAGCGGCCTGGACTCTGCCGCCGCGTACTACGTGATGGCGGCTGTACGGCGCCTGGCAGAGCGCTGCCGCACCATCATCAGGCAAGCCAAGCGGGGAGAGGGGCTCGAGCTGGTGGCACCTGTCGTACTACGGGATGGTTATACCTGTGGTACATTGTGGTACTACCCTTGTAGGGCAGGCTGTTGCCCCTGAGGCATGGTACTCTCCTCGCTGCCAATGACGCCCTGCCTCCTCCCTCGCCCTGCAGCGTCATCCACCAGCCCTCCTCCGAGGTGTTTGCGCTGTTTGACAAGCTGTGCCTGCTTTCCGACGGTCACGTGGTGTACTTTGGCGCCGCCAACCGCGCCATCGACTTCTTCGCCGAGGCGGGGCTGCCGGTGCCCAGCAACCGCAACCCCGCCGACCACTTCCTGCACGCCATCAACCGCGACTTCCTGGAGAGCGATGATGTGGAGAAGGTGAGCACGTCGACAGTGTTTATTGTTCTAAAAGAGGGAGAACCCAGGGGCAGGAGGCTGCTGGCTTGCCGCTGTCGTGCAGCTGTTGAGCGATTGTGCCTGCTCCTTCCCCTTGCCCGCTTGCCCCGCGCCCACGCAGAACATTGCGGCGCTGGTGACGCAATACAAGGCCTCCCGCATTGCAGCACACGTCAAGGATCACGTCAAGGTGGGCAGCAGGAGGCAGATTGATTGAAGGTCAAAGCAGTGAGTAGGGTGGGCATGATGTGCCGGATAGATGCAGCATATGTTGTCAGCTGCCACTACCAGCCATGATCATGTGTGTGCTTGCTACCTGGCCTGTTGGTTGGCTGCAGGAGCTTGAAGACAACCCGGCCAAGGAGTACACAGCGGGCGCGGGGCAGCCCAACTGGCTGTACCAAACTTCGGTGCTCACTTACCGCACCTTCCTCAACAAGTGAGACTGCTTGCACAGCTCCCACCAGCTTGCGCACACTTTGGCCTGGCAACTTGACAGCCAGCTCCCTGCATCCCTTCTGCAGCCTGCGCAATGTGGGCGTATTCTGGATGCGGCTGGCCATGTATGTGATGCTGTGCCTGGGCGTGGCGTTTGTGTACTTCCAGCTGGGAGATGCGTGGAAGGATGTGTACAGCCGTGCCGCCCTCCTTTTCTTCGTGGTGGCTTTCCTCACCTTCATGTCGATCGCTGCCTTCCCCGCCTTTACAGAAGGTGCGCTGTGGGGCCGGGTCCAATTGCCCCAAGCACAGAACGCACGCCAATGACCTTGCTGACCGTGAAGCTGGCATCCATGCCACCCAACCACAACCCCATGTGTTTTGCTGCCGCAGACATGAAAGTGTTCATTCGAGAGCGGCTGAACGGCTACTATGGAGTCAGCCAGTTCACCGTCTCCAACACGCTGGCCAGTCTGCCCTTCATCTTCCTCATCGCTGTGGTGAGTGCATGGCCAGTAGGCACCAGCAGCAGCAGTCAGCACACATGTCACGCCACCAATGCTCCGCTGCCGCAGATCTCCTCCGTCTGCGTCTACTTCATTGCCAGCCTGCGCATGGATGGCGAGAGCGTGGTCTACTTCATCCTGGACCTCTTCATCTCCCTGGTGGTGGTGGAAAGCCTGATGATGGCGATCGCTCCTCTCGTACCCCATTATCTGATGGGCATCGCGGCGGGGGCTGGCATCATGGGGCTGTTCATGATTGTCTGCGGCTTCTTCCAGCCACTGGACAGCATGCCTGGCCCCGTCCTGAGGTACCCCCTGTCGTACCTCAGCTACCACACATATGCGTTCACCGGTGCGTACTATGGCAGGGCACGCCTGGCTAATCCCATTTGTTTGCATGAGGGCAAAGAGAGTGCACCCACACATCGAGGCCAGAGCCAGCAACCACAGGAGTGCTGGTTGCAGCCGTCCATTTGGCCAGTCCCGCTGTGGGCGTCCGTCACCTGCCTGCTGCTGCCGCTGCTGCCACTGCAGGGTTCATGGAGAATGAGTTCAAGGGCACCAGCGGCTGGGGGTGCGCCCCAGCTGCGGATGGCGTGCCGCCACCGGACTGCAGCGTGGACGGCGCCGTGGTGCTGAACTATTATGAGATCATGAACATCGACAAGTGGGTGTGCCTGGCCATCCTGATTGGCATGGCGGCATTCTACCGCACCATCTTCTTCCTCACTCTCAAGTGGAAGGAGCGCGCCAGTCGATGAGAGCGGCGCGCCAATACCGGCTCGTGTACGTACTGGCAACTGCTGGCATGGGCATGTGGGCAGAGGGCCTGGGCACGTAGTTAGAGACGCTGCTGATGTCCAAAGGAGTTAGAATTGCATGCAGAGTAGAGTACCACGTAGTTCACTTTGATCTGCTACCGACGCTGTGTTTACCGCCACCCCTCCTTGTGCCGCTTGCTGGTAGGACACGCTCTGCGCCGATTGCTTGCATGACATGCTGTGTGTCTGCATGCTGTTAAGAAAACTGTAGAAATTCTGGGGCGAGCATGCTGAGCCGTGCCGCGTCCGCCGGGCGCTGCCGCCACCACAACCACCGCCATCATGCAGCAGCATCATCCACACTTTCACCACAAATTGCGTCGCTTTCCCACGCTTGTGTCCTGTAAACCCGTTTTTCTGGACCGCCGCCACACTTTCCCGAGCACGCGCGACAAAGAGACACACCCATGTCTCACACTGTGTGTGCCGCCGCGCCTTGTGCGCGTCCCTTTGTTAGGGCTGCCAGCCTTAGATCGGCAGCAGCGCGGCCTCTGGTGCAGCGAGTGCGCAGCGACGGCGGGCAGCCGGCAACGTCCCCTGCCGCCAACGCTGCCACCACAGTCACGGTGGACACGCTCTTCTCCAACTTGGACATTGACCTTGACAACTATCGCCGCGCGCCTGCCACCTTGGTGAGAGAAACAGCAAGTATTATGATAATGGGCAGGGGTGTTTCATGTCTGCCACGGGACGGTGGCTCCGCCTGCCACTTGCCACATGCTCCATGTCGTGCTGCTTGTTTTCCTGCCGGCGTGCAGAAGCAAGAAGTCAGCGGCGATGTGCTGGCCACGGTTGAGAAGCTGGCGAATGCGGGCGCGCTCAAGAAGTGGGGCGCAGCTCTCAGCGACCTCCCCGAGCGCCGCAGCGTGATGCTGGGCGAGCTGCGCCTTGTGGGCGTGAAGCAGCCTGAGAAGATTGCCCAGCTGTCGGTCCGCAACGATGCAGGTGGGGATGGCAGGGGATCAATAGAACGTGGGAGCAGCAGCAGCAGAATCCGGGCATGCTGGCACTGGGTGCAACACATGTATCTTGCTCCGCCCACTCTGTGTGCAGCCTTCCTGTTCAGCGTGGTCGGCACCACCAGCGTGGCCGCCGTCGTCCTCGGCCAGCTGCCGGGCGACTGGGGCTTCTTCAGCAGCTACCTCATCGGCGGCATCTCCCTGGTTGTGCTGGCGATTGGCTCCATCAACCCAGGCATCCTACAGTTTGCCATTGACCGCTTCAGGCAAGCAGTAGCGCAAGGCAATTCATGCGACGGTTTTTCACATCATGTCGTTCCCCACTTAGATGCCCCTTACGATGCCCCCATGCTCAAATGCTGCAGCGTGGTGTTCCCTGACTACAAGCAACGCGTGGTTGCCCACGAGGCGGCGCACTTTCTGGCCGGCTACCTGCTTCGAGTGCCCGTGGCCAACTACTCGCTGATGCTGGGCAAGGTGTGCCGCCGATCTGGGCACAAACCACTGGGTGTGGCAGCAGTATGCCCCGTTGGCTGCTGAATCCCTACCCCCCACCCCCCTGGTCCATGCCCTCGCCCCTGCTTCCATCTGTTTCCTCACCTGTTTCTCCGCTTCTGCAGGAGCACACTGATCTGGTGGAGGCCAAGCTGCAGAAGCGGTTGATCGAGGGCTCGCTGGAGCCAGCCCAGGTGGACCAGCTGAGCGTGATTGCCATGGCGGGTGCCACGGCAGAAGCGATGAAGTTTGAGGAGGTCATTGGACAGAATGCAGACTTCTTTGATCTCCAGGTGAGAGGTTGGGGGATGGTTGACAGCCGTTGGGTTGCAGGGCAGGGATGGTAGGGCAGGCCAATGGGGGGGGGGGGGGGGGGGGGGGGG